TGAACGGTGTCGTCTTTCCCGTCTTAACAAGACAGACTTGAAGACGGTCTTGTGTTAAGACATGGATTATCTCGGGCATTAGGGTATCTGTTACTTCTATTATGTTAACAGAGGTCCATTTGCTAGCACCAATGTGAAGATCAAAGCTTGGGGACTGATTGAGGCCGTCATAATTCCCATACATAAAAGTTCCTCTGATCAAATATGTGCTGTTCACGGTAAGGTTGAAGTTGTAACAGTTTCTTTCACCATCAGGGAAGCTTCTCAAGGCCCAAAGCGGTTGTTGAACCAGTGTTTTGTGTGCATCATTGATCTTCCCGACCAATCCGCTGTCGGTGTAATTTGCGTCTGATTTGTATGTTATATTCGTCGACGTCTCCAAATAAGTGGTTTCCTTAGGCACCAACCCACAATCCAAGCTGATGAATCCTGTTCATGATTAACACAGATAATACAAAACACTTTTAAAAAGAGTTGTTAAAAAAACAATTATATTTTGCGCAAAACAAAAACATCATCATGTTATCAAGTACCTGCTTGATTTTGAGCTTCCACGGATCTTGAAACTGTAAAAGCTACGATCAAAGGGAGCAAAAACCAATGAAGAGAGTTCATTTTCTTGGGTAAGATGGTTTGATTCAGAGAAGGCTATTATGCATTCTCCATTGCTGTTGATGAGTAAAAACTATAAACTGAGATAACATAAAATTGGTCATTTTATTTGGGGCAAGTCTTTAACAACACCCTTACTTGCCTACAACATTCTTTCAGTTTCACGCGTGGGAAGGGTTCCAGTTGTATAAATAAGATCAAGTAAAATTAAAAAATATGATATCAAATATATTTAAAAATATATAATATATCACTACTTCTTTTAATTAATTCAAAATAAAATCAATCATACTTTAAAACCTTCAATTGACGTTAAATATAACATATATGGATTAGAAAAAAAAATTAACGAAATTTGAATGGTTGTCTAATGAATTAGTCAATTTAGGAAATTGTAACCTACAATTACAAAGAGCTGACTTTAATTATATATGTGGACAATTGCACCGTATCTAATTTCGCCGTGATATATATAACTACCACTATTAGTATTTTGACCTATGTGATTATTACTTTAGTAATTCAAGGCGTTCAATTATCCAAGAAAATACATAAATAAGCATGCATTAGGTCGTGTCAACGAGTCATCCATCGGATACTCAAATCAAACAAGTATATTATTTGAATATTATTTAACTTTTGATGGATATATTTTTAAGTTTATTCTTCATAACATATCCTTTCTACTATAATTTCTATTTTTTTTTTCTATCACTTTGCCTTTCACCTTTTCAAATATACCATGTATATGCAGTGCCCGCTAGACATGTCAATAAGGGCCAAAGCCCTGAAAAACAGCGGGCTCGGGCTTAAAAATATATGTCCAGAAAAAAATCGGGTCTTTCGGGCTAAGCCCGTTGGACTAAAGGGTTTTTAGGGCTTAGCCCGGCCGGGCTCAGGCCAGCCCGAAAAACCCTTAAAAAGAGATTTTAACTTCCTTTTTTATAAATATTATTGTTTAATTAAGAGATTTGTTTAAAGATTTTTTTTAATAGAGTTAAAAACTCTAAACCTAGTTTTCTAATTGTGTCTTACTATAAGTGTTATGATTTTATATTTTATTTAATGTGGGTTTAAACAATTTATTTGGATTATTTATTTGATTTTAAACTTTTTTAAAAAGTAGATTGACTTTAGTGGGTTATTTAAGTTTCGTTTGACTCATTTTATACATAGATTTTTTTTTTCAAGAGATATTATAAATTAGAAGGATTTATTTTTCTCGAAAGAAAAGCTCAAAAAAGCCCGTAAAAGCCCTGTAGCCCTGTTAGGGCCGGGCCGGACTTCACAATCTAGGCTCGGAATTTTTACGGGCCGGGCCGGGCCGGGCTCAAACATATGCGGGTTTTGCGGGCTTCGGGCCGGGCCGGGCTAGCCCGATTGACATGTCTAGTGCCCGCCTAGTAGTTTTTGGGGTCCAATACAGAAAAAAAAAATCTAATTCTATTTAACAAAAAAAAAAAACTATCACAATTGGATTATTAAATTTTTGGGGCCTCTAAAAAATATATATTAGACTTTTGAAGCCTTTTTGTTTTTGTAGGAAGAGTTTTGAGGCCTTTAAAAGATAATTGTTTGATTTTTGGGGCCTTTAAAGTAAATTTTTTTATACAAAATTTGTTTTAAAAATTGGGGGCCCAACACCAATGTATCTTGGGTTTGTGTGAAGGGCCGGGCCTGTGTATATGTGGAACGACAAATTTGTCCTCTCTTTTGTGTGCCCAAACACTGCCACCAATTTGATATTTTCGCTGCCCATGTTCTCTCTACACATCGTGAACTGTGCACATTAAACCCAACATATTCGGGGACAACTATATCTAAAATTCAGAGACAACTGGTAAATAATCGAATCCCCAATTTCATCTCATTTTTGCATTTTTTTAAGTTGTTGTTGTCCCCCGATTTTAATTCTTTATCCTTCGATTTTAGTCTTCCTAAGTTGTAACTATGGTCTTTTCATCTTATTTGATGTTTATATTTCGTTTGATTATTGTCTCTGAATAGGGTTTGTTAAAATCTTCACCGATTTTTTAATTCACCTCTTCTGTTTTGGTCGCTTGTCTTTAACTTAATGATTTATAATTAAATTAAATCAGCTAAAATTTTCTTTCCATTAAATGCTTCTGCTCCCTTTTGTCCTTATATCGGTCATGTTGCACTTTAACTAACACAAACCTGCCACAACAGCTGAAGGCAAAACCGACTTTTTATGCCACAATAACACATATATGTGGTAGAAATGGAAAAGAATTATCAGATGTGGTAGAAAATAAAAGCTTTTGGTGGACAGTGGTAGAGTTGACCAAATTCCTAACATATATGTCTTTTCGTCCATGATCATTATTATATATTATCTCCTCTTTATATATAATTTAGAACACAAAATAATCTATTTATCCACTTGAGAACTCATACCGCTTTTTAACTTGACATAGATGCTAATATTGCTAAGAGTAATATTTGTCTATTTGCATTGAATAATTACCATCAAAAAGTAGTAGAAACAAAAACGTATAAAAATGAGACATTGTCTTTAGAGACAACTGGGGCAGAGACCATGGATCTGAGCAAATTAGTTTTCTAGTAAACTGACACAAGATCTATAATAATGAAAATATTTAGCCTATATTCTTTTCTAATTTAACCCCATGCGTCATAGATATTTGGATTCATAATCAGTCTATTGCGTAAGACAAATGAATTAATGTTTGTCGTGGATGTCCAAAACACTTTATGGATCTATGTATATATCTTGCATGTTGTTTCTTCCGTCGATTAGACTGAATATCTAATAAAAATTTATATTTATTTTGTAAGAACATGAAAAATCCATGGCCACCGGTTATTTGGGAACAACGAAAAACATGTTTGGAATAGAGTCAAATAATACTACAAACTCAACACGATTAGTGTTAATGTTACGATGAATCTGCCTAAGTTTCGGTGATTAATTTGAAAATATCTGATGCATATCCAGTGACTGTTCGATGAAAACTGGTGAAAATCCAATGAGATCCAATGACAGCTCGATGAAAACCGGTGAAAATTCATCGAAAATCTGACGAAACTTATGATTTCAATGATATTTTGGTGTCCAATTGCGATGCATAACTCTCTTGCTCTGTTCGACGATTTATGATACAATGATTGTAATATATACATTATAGCGTGCAAACATGTATACTAATGTTAACAACGCTCTGTATACGTGTTTACATGTATACAAATGTTAATAACGCTTCATGTAACATTTATACAAATGTAATAACGCTCTATGTACATGTTTACATGTATAGAAATATTAATACACTCTATATATATATATATATATATGTATTTACATGTACACATAGACCGAATTATCTAACACTATAATTATTCTAAGGTTCTATTTATGTGTTTATCAGTATACAAATGTCAAAATCATGTAAAATATTCTTTGGATGTCCATGCAACTAGTATGTTGTTTAAAAAATTTGAAAAATAATTTTTGGATGTCCATGCAACTACATTAGTTGTTTACATTTTTCGATTCTCGTCTATATTCAAATTTGAGATAGCTCGAGTTAACACATGTTGCATTTATTAGGAATCACTTCGTTCATTCTGTTTACGTGTCCATGTCAGTTCAACTAGAATCGTGACAAAAGGACTAAAATCTGGGTTGTAATACCTTCTTAGAATCCAATTGAAATTAACTGGAAGTTCACAAGAGATTGGAAGAGATCTCAAGAGGGTGAACGGATCTCCTTTTCAACCTCTTCGTTGTTAAGATGAAGCCAAGTATTCAAATAATACTCATCATCACATTAATTCTATAAATCGAAATAACAACAAATTGAATTATAGTTTAGATTGGGCAGTATTTTTTATGGGTCAAATTTGTTTTTTTAAACTGGGGTTTCTCATTTGGGTTGGGTTTTCTAATCGATTTTTTTTGTTGGGTTTAATCAACATGGGCTAGGTTTGTTTAATTGTTGGATTATTTTAGGAGATTTTTGTCATATGTATATTGCCATGAAAAAATTATACTTTCAACCCTCAAAGTATTATTATAGGTAGCAATTTAAGTCAAGAGTAATTTTTGTCATAGATTTTGTGCTAAGCATTCAACATTTTTAGATTAGTCAAATGATACATCATTGTAACAAAAGAAGGGAAGGAAAGTGACAAAGGAGAGACATTTTTTTTTTATTGTTGCAGTTGTCGAGAGAACCTATATAGAAGCACTAATATAGAAAACAGTTTTATACAAGAGAAATTATAGAATGTAGGGTTTTTTGTAAAAATATATATACGATTGGAAATAAATTTCAGAATTCAAAGATTTACGTAACTGTCAAAAAAAAAAAAAAAATGATTTTACATAAAAAAACAATATTTGGTTAAAAGTTTAATTATAAAAGTCCATCTTCACTCACATCCCATGTACATTGTTTCTTTCAAAACATACATTTAGAAGTTCCATAATATAACATCAAATATATTCTCTCAATTTATCTTGCTCCAGGTGAAAATTCGGAAGCAGAAGAGCGACTAAAGTCAACAAACCCTCTTGTGTGCATCTCTTCACTACCTTGTCGCCTTGCATTTTCTAAGGCCACACATTCGTTTAGCTCCATCACAACTTGTGCCATTGTTGGTCTCCGGTTTGAAGACGGGTTCACACATGCAAGAGCCAGCTCCACAATCTTCCATGCACCGTTTGTGTCATAGTCGCCCATCAGTTTCGGGTCAACGATGCTCTTGATGTCTCCTTTAGTGAGCATGAACCCCACCCATTCATTGATGTGAGGTCTCTCTCGGGTTTTATCTATCACAGACTGGTTTGTTACTAGCTCTAATAGCACTACACCGAAGCTGTACACGTCACTCTTCTCGCTTAGCAAGTTTGTTCTGTAGTACCTGAAAGAGTATCAAAGGAATAAAACAATTCGTATTCTTCTCTGGCAACAACAATAAAAAAAACTCTGAAATTTGATTGTTCTACTCACTCGGGGTCTAGGTAACCAGGTGTGCCTGCAACAACTGTCGATACATGAGATTCACCATCGATTGGGAAGGATCTCGAGAGCCCAAAGTCAGCTAGTTTCGCTCCACACCGATCATTCAATAAGATAATCATAGTTTTAACATCTCTATGGACCATAGGAGGCCTACATCCATTGTGAAGATACTCCAATCCTTTTGCAGATTGATATTGTATATGTCAATCTTTCTTACAGAGAACCAAACACATATTGTTGTGTAATAAAAAAAAAACTAGTCAGAATTTTGTTCACCTTGTGCAGCCTCTACAACTATTTGCATCCTGTTTTCCCAGGTAAGGACATTACCTCCACGTTTTCCTAAACCAGGTTTGAATATTTTTTAACCTACGGAAAGAGATGGATTCGATTAAATCAGAGTCTCTAAGTTACCTGACATATTCTCCCTCAGGTCTCCATTGGCCATATATATATATTCATAAATCAAAGCCAAGTTATCTCCATCATCACAGTAACCAACAAGTCCAACCAAATGTCTGTGATGAACTCTTGAAAGAAGTTCCACCTGCGAAAGATAACAAAACGACCATTCATGCTTAAGGAAGATGTAAAAACAATTAGACTAACTGATCCATTTCCAGTTAAATTAAAGTACCTCTGCTTTGAACTCTTTATACCCTTGAGCTGATGAATGAGAGAGCATTTTCACAGCTACTTGAGTATCATCCAAGTTTCCATGATACACTGTTCCAAACCCTCCTTTACCAAGAACTCTCTCAAAGTTTTTAGTCATCTTCAGTACCTCGGAATACGTGAATTTGCGTTCCTTTGTTATGATTGATGGATTGAATGGTCTTGTCTCATTGTTAACTATATCGGTAGGGACTGATGGGGGTTCTGTAGCTGTAAAATCGTACAAACATTTGTAAAATGAATGGAGATAAGTTTTTATTTTTCATTAATCTTAAGACCCAGTGGTGTTACATACTTTCCCCATTTTTCCTTCTAACGAGAAAAACGATGGCTAAGATAACTATCAGAGCAAACACGCCAGCCACTGACGCTACGATATCAATTATTGGTACCTCTTTACTCTTTCCTTTGAGGGTTACAGTTTTGCTCAAACTATAATCATTAAAAATGATGAGAAAAAGAAAAAAAGAAACATGTTGAAGAATTTAAGATTGAATAAAGTGAAACATAAACATCTTACATGAGTGTTAAAGATTTGCTATCTAATCTTTGTTGAAGAGAGTCTGGAATTGTGCTATTGAGACCTGGATTTCCACTTAAGTTTCTGCAAATGAAAAAACTTACATGAGTTTTCTGAAGCTTTATGAACCAAAAAAAAAAAAAAAAATGTCGGAGAGGCTTACATGAGTTTTAGCAGCTTCATATTGAAGATACAGTTATTTTGGTGTTCTGTAGTAGTCGTTGAAGTAGTACAGAAAGTAGTACAAGATGTGTTCAGGAAGATGAGATGCATAATTGCTGATGGGGGGCTCGAGTACTTGGGTGTTGGAGCGTTTGTCAAGTCAAGAAAAGGAAAATTATCTTTGTTTGAAGCAAAAGGAGTCATGTAAGTAAAGTGGAAGTTTGCTTGAAGAGAAAAAGGAAATTGACAAAAAGGAAAACCTTTTCCTTATGGGATTTGGAAACTTTCTCTTATGTGTGATTGGAAGAGCTTGAGGCGCAAGTTTCTTTTTGTTATATAAGGGGGACGTGACCTTATGAGAATGTGGATTTGCAAGAGTAAAAATCCCAAGGAGATTCGATGTGAGAGATTGTGTGTGTGATCGTGTGCGACGTAGTTTCGTGGGTTAAATGCTTGTGTGATCAAGCTTATTTGTGTGTTGGTGTTGAAGGTTCTCGTTGGAGAGTTTTGGTGACCATTGGGTTCGTTGGTGTGACGATTCGTGTGTGGTGGTCGTTCGAGAAACTTTGGAGAATTAAAGTCTAGACTCAGGGGAGTTTAGCTTAGGGTTAGGTTATCCTGATTAAATCTAGGCTCAGGAGAGTTTAGTTAAGGGTAGAGATTTATCCTTAAGGTTTCACGTTATAGAAGGGAGCGGTAAATCAAGAGGGTTGGGCTTGTTTTACGCGTTTGCGAATTGGTTTTAATTTGCTTTCTTGTTCTAGTGAAATCGAATCTGGACTTGGTTCCGGGGAGTAGGAAAAACCGAACCTCGTTAACAAATTTCTTGTCTCGTTTACTTTCTGCAATTTATCTTACCTCATCCGCACTTACAATTGGTATCAGAGCGGGTTCTCGATAGAGATTTAGTCTTGTTTCGGGTAGATCAGGGTGAGGTTCAGGAGATCGTTCAGAAGATTGTTCAGGAGATCGTTCAGGAGATCATTCAGGAAATCGTTCAGGAAGTAAAACAGAGCTAAGCATCGTGCGTTATGGATTCATACATCTCAGGAATATTTGGTCTAAGAGAGTTAATCATTATGATGATGGTGCAATGGTATTTCATTCTTCGTTTAGATGGAGGCGATCGTTTGGTTAGTTTTTGACCATGATGTGACTCAAGTAAGGGGAGATTGGAGTTATTGGTGTTGTGTTACTGGTGATGAAGTTATTGAAGCTAGAGTTGTTGAGTTCACATACATAGTCAAAAAGGGAGAGATTGAAGATGCAGTTATTTTGGTGTTCTGTACTAGTCGTTGAAGTAGTACAGAAAGTAGTACAAGATGTGATTCAGGAAGATGAGATGCATAATTGCTGATGGGGGGGCTCGAGTACTTGGGTGTTGGAGCGTTTGTCAAGTCAAGAAAAGGAAAATTATCTTTGTTTGAAGCAAAAGGAGTCATGTAAGTAAAGTGGAAGTTTGCTTGAAGAGAAAAGGAAATTGACAAAAAGGAAAACCTTTTCCTTATGGGATTTGGAAACTTTCTCTTATGTGTGATTGGAAGAGCTTGAGGCGCAAGTTTCTTTTTGTTATATAAGGGGGACGTGACCTTATGAGAATGTGGATTTGCAAGAGTAAAAATCCCAAGGAGATTCGATGTGAGAGATTGTGTGTGTGATCGTGTGAGACGTAGTTTCGCGGGTTAAATGCTTGTGTGATCAAGCTTATTTGTGTGTTGGTGTTGAAGGTTCTCGTTGGAGAGTTTTGGTGACCATTGGGTTCGTTGGTGTGACGATTCGTGTGTGGTGGTCGTTCAAGAAACTTTGGAGAATTAAAGTCTAGACTCAGGGGAGTTTAGCTTAGGGTTAGGTTATCCTGATTAAATCTAGGCTCAGGAGAGTTTAGTTAAGGGTAGAGATTTATCCTTAAGGTTTCACGTTATAGAAGGGAGCGGTAAATCAAGAGGGTTGGGCTTGTTTTACGCGTTTGCGAATTGGTTGTAATTTGCTTTCTTGTTCTAGTGAAATCGAATCTGGACTTGGTCCCGGGGAGTAGGAAAAACCGAACCTCGTTAACAAATTTCTTGTCTCGTTTACTTTCTGCAATTTATCTTACCTAATCCGCACTTACAATTGGTATCAGAGCGGGTTCTCGATAGAGATTTAGTCTTGTTTCGGGTAGATCAGGGTGAGGTTCAGGAGATCGTTCAGAAGATTGTTCAGGAGATCGTTCAGGAGATCATTCAGGAAATCGTTCAGGAAGTAAAACAGAGCTAAGCATCGTGCGTTATGGATTCATACATCTCAGGAATATTTGGTCTAAGAGAGTTAATCATTATGATGATGGTGCAATGGTATTTCATTCTTCGTTTAGATGGAGGCGATCGTTTGGTTAGTTTTTGACCATGATGTGACTCAAGTAAGGGGAGATTGGAGTTATTGGTGTTGTGTTACTGGTGATGAAGTTATTGAAGCTAGAGTTGTTGAGTTCACATACATAGTCAAAAAGGGGGAGATTGAAGATGCAGTTATTTTGGTGTTCTGTACTAGTCGTTGAAGTAGTACAGAAAGTAGTACAAGATGGGATTCAGGAAGATGAGATGCATAATGGCTGATGGGGGGGGCTCGAGTACTTGGGTGTTGGAGCGTTTGTCAAGTCAAGAAAAGGAAAATTATCTTTGTTTGAAGCAAAAGGAGTCATGTAAGTAAAGTGGAAGTTTATTTGAAGAGAAAAGGAAATTGACAAAAAGGAAAACCTTTTCCTTATGGGATTTGGAAACTTTCTCTTATGTGTGATTGGAAGAGCTTGAGGCGCAAGTTTCTTTTTGTTATATAAGGGGGACGTGACCTTATGAGAATGTGGATTTGCAAGAGTAAAAATCCCAAGGAGATTCGATGTGAGAGATTGTGTGTGTGATCGTGTGCGACGTAGTTTCGCGGGTTAAATGCTTGTGTGATCAAGCTTATTTGTGTGTTGGTGTTGAAGGTTCTTTTTGGAGAGTTTTGGTGACCATTGGGTTCGTTGGTGTGACGATTCGTGTGTGGTGGTCGTTCGAGAAACTTTGGAGAATTAAAGTCTAGACTCAGGGGGAGTTTAGCTCAGGGTTAGGTTATCCTGATTAAATCTAGGCTCAGGAGAGTTTAGTTAAGGGTAGAGATTTATCTTTAAGGTTTCACGTTATAGAAGGGAGCGGTAAATCATGAGGGTTGGGCTTGTTTTACGCGTTTGCGAATTGGTTGTAATTTGCTTTCTTGTTCTAGTGAAATCGAATCTGGACTTGGTCCCGGGGAGTAGGAAAAACCGAACCTCGTTAACAAATTTCTTGTCTCGTTTACTTTCTGCAATTTATCTTACCTCATCCGCACTTACACATATCAGCAAAAAACGCTGGAATTTCTCCTGATAAATCATTTTTTGACAAATCTCTGTCCATTAGACAGAGAAAGCAAAGTTTTTGAAGAGTTAATTAGATATGCAATAAAGCATATCGAATAAATAACATTATCGGTGTGACAATCCGGGCACTTACAGCTCTATCAAATTTGTTAGCTTGGATATTTCAGGTGTTATGGTACTAGTCAACTTGTTCTCTGCCAAGTTCCTAATGTAATGTTTTCAAACAATAAAGTATCCAAAAGAGTTAGCATTTGTGAAACCTTGAATTTGAAAGACCATGAGATCAAGAAACAGAACATACAAGGATATGATCCGAGGTTGATCAGAGTTTGGATAACTACAGTTTAGACCTTCCCATCGATAAGACTGAGGAGCACATGGATCTCCTTCCCAGCTAACCTTTTTGCTCAAATCATACGTTGCCTTGATGTTTACCATAGCAGAAACTGATCAATCATCACATTTCAAAAACCAGTTTAAAAGACAGAAGTTTTTTGTAAAATAATGGGTTTAAGAACATGCTTAACTTGCCTTCATCTTGATCTGTCTCGAGTTCTAGAAGGTCTAAGCCTTTATAAATCTCAAGACCGTTGATAAGAGGAGGAAGAGTTGAGTTACCGGTCTTCGTGAAAGAGAAACTGAAATTTCCATCCGGAGAACTCAAAGGTGTTGAACGGAATAGAGTTGATATCTCGAGTTTATCAGGCCTAAAATAGGAGTACACATTCTGGCCACCATTATAAGTAATGTTGAATTCTCTGATCTCACCATCCTTAAGAGTCTGGATTTCAGCGAAATGCATGTATACATATGATTGTGAAGTGTTGTTGTCTAGAGTCCAATAAAAAAACAGAGGCTGACTAGCATTTGCAGGTACACAGGCAGTCTTTGCCACAGTTTGTGGCACATCATAGGGGTTACTTGTATCGACCAAAAGGTCTGTGCTTATCGACACCGTTGCGCTATCTACGTGTCGAATCCAGATTCGATCATGGAAATCCTCATCATACCTATAAAACAAGAGGGAAAGCCACAAGAATCATTTTTGTTAACTCAAAAACATAGAAAACAAAACAAGAAAGGCCCCATCGTAGATGCATCAATCAAAATTTAGCCGTTAGATGTTGTTTGTTTCTAAAATCGCTTTTTCCATATGGATGTTTGCATTTGGATACAACTTTTGCATCCGAAGATATCCATATTTTTGGATGCAAATGGTTTTTGCATTTAAAGGCAACATTTGGACGCAAATACCAAATTGGTCAAACTATCAACATAAACGAAAAGGGCTAAGATACAATTAAAAATCCGTCTTTACCTTATGAATACTGGAGTGGGTGAAAAGAAAGCTCTTGCAACTGCGATCAAAGATCCACTTTGGGTGAGGTAAGTATTATTGTTCAACGGACGAAGTTCCAACGACGAAATAAATGGTATCCCTTTTCCTGTCTTAACAAGACAAACTTGAAGACGGTCTTGTGTTAAAACATGGATCATCTCGACGATGGTTCCATTTGCTACTCCATCCAATTTAATAGAAGTCCATTTGTTAGGACCAATGTGAAGATCAAACTTGGGGACTTGTCTCAAACCGTCGTAATTCCCATACATAAAGGTTCCTCTGATGAGATATTTGCTTTTAGCGGTAAGGTTGAACTTGTAACAGTTTCTTTCACCGTCAGGGAAGCTTCTTAAGGTCCAAGTCTGTTGCTGAAGCAGCGGTTTATACTCATCACTGATCCTCCCGACCAATCCACTATCGATGTATTTTGCATCTGATTTGTATGTTATATTTGTCGTCTTCTCCGTATAAATTGTGTCCTTAGGGACTAACCCACAATCTAAACTGATGAATCCTGTTGATGATCGACACCATAAATAACATTATTAAAGAAACAAATGCCAAAAGGGCTTCCTAATCTACAGAGTAGTCAAAGAAGCGAATAGTAAGAACCTAATTGATCTTGAGCTTGAACTGATTCAAAAATGACATAACCTATGATCAAGAGGAGCAAAAACCCGCGAATAGACTTCATTTTATTTTATTTTATTTTGCAGTGGGTGCTCTGATTCAGAGGAGGCTATGATCCATTGTTCTAGATTGGCAAGTATTGAGATAACAATATATTGGTCAAATGATTTGGCATTCATAGCTTGTGTAAGCTTTGTGCTAAGTCTTCAACATTAGATTCTTTTATTTTATTCAGGTGATTCTTACAGTAACCCTTACGTGTCTACGACATTCTTTCTGGTTTCAGGCCGTTGGAGAGTTTTCAATTTTCAAATGTATATTATTGGGTAGACTTTAAAAAAAATGATGTGAAAGCAGTTATTACATGGAGTTTATTAGGTAAAAACTTAACAAATTTTAAATGAATCAGTAAATTTAAGTTTTATGGAGTCACGTTTATTTACCCTAGTAGTTCTATTTTTGTTTGTGATATGAACACTAGTGAATTTTGTCAGTCGTTGACTTTGAATTTGTAGAATCCGAAAATCTTGTAAATTTTTATTTCAAAATAAAATAATTTCTCAGAAAAATCTCTATCTTCTAAGCACCAATCCAAAGTATGAGAACAGAATAATCAAAACAGAGCATCCTGGTCTTTTTGCCATGGCGTTGATGACTAAATAAACTGATATTATACATATCAATTTCTTGGAACCCAAGAATGTTATACATAATAAAGGCTAGTACGTTTTACGGAAAAATTTACAGAGCTATCTTAAGATTTTCAATATGAACAATCCATTATTATAAACAACATAGCTTGACAACACAAAGACATTTTACCTAGCTAAAGGGGAGAAATCAGAAGCAGAAACTGGACTATACTTAACAGAATCCTTTGAGTACGTCGCTTGACTACCTTGTTTCCTTTCAATTTCCATAGCAAGACATTCGTTTAGCTCCATCACCACGTGTGGCATCGTCGGTCTACGGCTTGAAGACGGGTTTACACAAGCTAAAGCCAGCTCTACAACCTTCCATACACCGTTTGTGTCATAGTCATCCATCAGTTTTGGGTCGACAATACTCCTGATATCCCCATTGGTAAGCATGAACCCAACCCAGTCATTGATATGAGGTCTCTCTCGGTTTTTATTTATCACAGGCTGGTTTGTGACTATCTCTAAAAGCACTACACCAAAGCTGTACACATCACTCTTCTCGCTTAGCCAATTTGTTCGGTAATACCTGGAAAAGAAAAGAGAATCATAAAGAGAGATTACAATTCACAAATCTTCATAACTCGTTTCAGTATCAGAAAAAAAGATTGATTCACTCACTCAGGGTCTAAGTAACCAGGTGTTCCTGCAACGACTGTCATGACATGAGATTCACCATCAACTGGAAAAGATCTCGACAGCCCAAAGTCGGCTAGTTTTGCTTGAGACCGATCATTCAATAAGATGTTAGTTGGTTTCACATCTCTATGGACCATAGGAGGCCTACATCCATTGTGCAGATACTCCAATCCTGTCACAAATGGTTATTGTTTATGGTTATTGTGTAATAGTAAAAAAAAAAAATCAGAGAGTTTTGTTCTACCTTGTGCTGCCTCTACAGCTATTTGCATTCTTGTTTCCCAGCTTAAGACATTGACACTGCGTTTTCCTGTACCGAGCTTTAAATGTTTTAAACTGCGGAAGGTGATGGATTTGACTGAATCAGAGTCTCTAAGTTAAAGTGTTACCTGACATATTTTCCCTCAAGTCTCCATTTGCCATATATTCATAGATCAAAGCCAAGTTATCTCCATCATCACAATAACCCACAAGTCCCACCAAATGTCTGTGATGGACTCTTAAAAGAAGCTCGACCTGATAAAATAACAAAATGACCAATTCACGACTGAGAAACTTACTGACATATAAAAAGCGAATATGGATCTATGTCTTCTTCAAGTACCTCTGCTTTGAACTCCTTATAACCTTGAGCTGATGAATGCGAGAGCATTTTCACAGCTACTTGAGTATCATCCAAGTTTCCATGATACACTGTCCCAAACCCTCCTTTACCAAGAACTCTCTCAAAGTTTTTAGTCATCTTGAGTACCTCGGAATACGTGAACTTGCGTTCCTTTGTTATGATTGATGAACTGGATGATCTTGTATCACTTTTAACCGTACCCCTAGTTACTGATGCAGGTCCTGAAGCTGCAAAATATTAAAGAAGTGAGTAAAATCTGACAAGTTTCATTTTCATTAGTTTTCAAGACCCAGTCTAGTGATCATACCTTCATTAGTTCTCTGTTTATTCCTTATGACGACAAAAACGATAGCCAAGATAACTAGCACAGCAAACACGCTAGCCACTGATGCTGCGATAGCAACCACATTTTTACTATTTTTTCCGGTTTCATCTCTACTGCAATCATTAAAGGTAATGTGAAATGAAAAAGAAGGTTAGACACTGTTGCATAGGAGTCTGAATTACTTTCCGTGACTCGAAAAGGTTGAGACTGTATCCACTGAAAATCTTACATTAGTATTAAAGATTTGCTATCTATCCTTTTCTGAAGAGTCTCAGGAACTGAGCGATTGAGATTCTTGTTTCCGCTCAAATTTCTGCAAATGAAAAGAGAATCTATCAGAACAGCACATAAAGCGTCCAAGAACCGAGATAAGCATAGTAGTCATTTGGAAGCTCACATGAGTGTCAAATTCGTCATGAGTGAAAAAAAACCTGGAATCTCTCCTGATAAATCATTCTTTGATAAATCTCTGCACATTAAAGAAGAAAAAAAACAATTTGTTTTACACAATAAACCATATCATATACTTGAAGTTTATTATTGTGTATTCGGATGCTTACAGTTCTCTCAACTGTGTTAGTTTGGATATATCAGGTGTTATGGTACCACTCAAATTGCTTCCACTCAAGTTCCTAATAAATAATCCAAGAGTTAGAACTTGTGAAAAAAAAACAGAACAAAAGAATGGAGATGAACGAGCAAAACATACAAGGATATGATCCGCGGTGGCTCAGAGACAGGATAACTACAGTTTAAACCTTCCCATCTATATAACTCAGGAGCACATGGATCTCCTTGCCAGCTAGATCTTTTTCTCAAACCATAAGTTGTCTTGATTTTCATCATAGCCGAAACTGATCAATCATTACATTTAGCATTAATATTAAAACTAAAAAGATAGAAGATCTTGGTAAAATAATGGCTTTAAGAACATGCTTAACTTACCTTCATCTTGGTCTGTATCAAGCTGTAGAAGCTCTAAGACTTGGTAAATCTCGAGGCCGTTGATAAGTGGAGGAAGAGTAGAGTTACCGGTCATCGAGAAAGTGAAATTGAAATTCCCATCTTGAGAACTCACAGCTGCTGGATTGTATACAGTTGTTATTCTGAACTTTGGAGGTCTAAAATAGGAGTACCAATTTTTGCCACCATTGTAAGTAATGTTGAATTCTCTGGTCTCATTAACTTCAAGATTCTGGATTTCAGCGAAATGCATGTATATATATGACGGTGCAGTGATGTCGTCTAGAGTCCAATCTATTGTCAGAGGCTGAGTAGCATTTGCCGGGATAGCAGCAGTTTTCGCCACAGGTTGAGGCACATTGTAAAAGTTACTTGTATCAACAGAAAGTTCCGTGCTTAAGAAGGAAGTTTTGTTACCTAATAATGGAACCCAAATTCGGTCATGTACGTCCTCATCAAACCTTGAGAAAGAAAGAGAGAAGCCTATTTTTGTTAATTCAACACAAAGAACAAAACAAGAAATATGAAAACAAAACCTTTTTGGCTCGTCTCTTTACCTCACAAACGGTGGAGTGGGTGAGAAGTAAACTCTTGCGACCGCAATCAGCGATCCACTTTGTGTGACGTATGTATTATTGTTCAAAGGACGAAGTTCCAATGACGAAATAAACGGTGTAGTTTCTCCTGTCTTAACAAGACAAATTTGAAGACGGTCTTGTGTTAAGACATGAATCATCTCGTTGACTGAACCATTTGTTACTCCTGGGATCGAAACAGAGGTCCATTTGTTTGGACCAATGTAAAGATCAAAGCTCGGGAGTCGATTCAAACCGTCGTAATTCCCATAGATAAAAGTTCCTCTGATCAGATACTTGCGTTTCGCGGTGAGGGTGAAGTTGTAACAGTTTCTTTGACCCTCAGGGAAGCTTCTTAAGGCCCAAGTCTGTTGCTGAAGCTGTGTTCTGTATACCTCATTGATCTTCCCGGGCAACCCACTTTCGATGAAAGTCGCGTCTGATCTGTATGTTATATTCGTCGACTTCTCCACATAAGTAGTTTCCTTAGGCACCAAACCACAATCTAAGCTGATGAATCCTGTTCATGATCAAATAAAACAAATTTTTAATCTGCAGAGGAAACAAAACATCAAGCTTTTATGAAAACAGAGAAAAGAAAGAAAAGCAGAGTAAGAACCTGATTGATCTTGAGCTTGAACCAATTCAAGAACTGCGAAAACTGAGATCAAGAAAGACAAAAACCTCATGTTTTTTGTGGATGTTTGTTGTGAATCAGAGGAGGCTATTCATTGTTCATAGCTTCTTGGTGGGCAAAGATTGACATAAGCAAAGTATTGGTCAATTAAGATGGCTAAGTCTTCTTCAACATTAGATTTATTCAGGTGAGTGTAACAGTACTCTTATTTGCCTACGAAATTATGTGTGGAAATGTTCAAACTAGTATTGGTAGCAAATATATAAAAACGAAAGAAAAAAAAAAAGAGAAATCAGACAAAAGTAAATAAAGAAATAGAAAGAAACAAAGAGAGTTGCAGAATCTTGCTTAAACAAAATAATAATACCCAACTTGCCTTCCAAGCTTCAACCAAAAAAAACTATAATAACAGGAAGGGGGCGTAAATAACTACTAAATATTCATACTTTTATTTTTCTTATGAAATTTCTAAATTTTAGTCAGGAAAAAATCTCGATATTATAGTCAATTGACGTATATGGTATATATTTTTAGAAATTATTTTGACAAATTTTCATGTGTTTGAAATTCTTTTTTTTTTAAATAAAGTGAAGAAAAATTAGAAATGAATAAGTCAACTTAGTGATTCTGATTTTTAACGTCGTCGTTGCCTATATTCCTTGAAATTGCAAAGAATTGACTACAATTATATATTTCATGGTGTATGAAATTTGTCCATTGATTTGAGTGAGTATTTTGCAAAACAATTATTTTACTTGTTTTTGATAAGGTGACTCAGTTTAAAATTTAAATATCAAGATTTGAGCCATGGATTGTATTAAACAACTTAGATTAAAATGTATATGTGTTACCAAAATAAGCATAGAATATCAATTGATGATTACAATATTCTTATTGTAATTGTTAATACTCCAAAATATATTAATCTAACAAAGGTTCTACAAAAAAAAAAAAAAATTATTAGAATCTATAAGAGATCGATTATGAGAAGCTGTAAGGGGGGGTGAATTCAATAAAGGATTTGAAATGATTTGTATTAAAATGATAAATCCTATGTTATTCAAACATGAATTCTAAAAAATTTTATAAAATCAAATGTTATTGGATTAGTGATTTTAAAATCTACAATCAAATCCACTGTTATTGGAAACATTTTAAGTTGTGAATTTAAAGTGACTTAAGTGATTTTGGGTGGAATTTCAGAGAATATCTATACTAGTATTTTTGCAACACTTTGGTGACGGGTGGGTAAAAATGCTTCCGGATAAATCGGATACCCGACCCGTTTTTAAAATTCCTTCACAAAAAAACCCTTGGATCGGGTTAAATAAAACCCATATATTGCACCGGATATTCCATATTTAATAATTTAGATATTTAGAAGATTTGATTAAGATTTAGAATTATGATTCTCCTATCATCTTTGTTTGATTTGTTTTTAACTGTTTTGAATCATCATATAATACATAAAGTAAAAAAAAAATCATTTTTTTTTCTGCATATACTATGATTCGAAATTTTAAAAACGGACATATATTATCCAATTGACGAAAATGTGTGTTCAACGTTCTACATCGATTAAAATATTTAGAAAATGATACAGAATTATATCATAAATAAGATCAACATTAATAAAATAAATGAGTTTTTTGGCCGGACGGGTTTGGCGGGACGGGTTTTTGAATCAACAATAATAAAAAGATTAAAATATCATTAATCCGCCGCTTCAATACGAATTAAATCCTTAATTTTTTTAATACCACCAATATTAGACATATTAAATGAATCTCATTTAGAAAAGATTGTATAAAACCAAAAATTGTCCCGTGGTATAATGTTACTTAATAACAATTGTAAACTATAAAATATAAATATCTTAGAAAATGATACAATTTGTAAACTTTTATATATAATAAATAATCGTTAAATTTTAAAAATTACTACTTTTAGAAAACAAATCACGGGACGGGTTAAGAAGTTACAGGACGGGTTATATTTCGGAACGAAGTTATATGGTGGACGAGTTTGAATCAATATTTATAAAATTTTAAAATATCATTAACATGCCGCTTTAATACAGATTAAATCTTCAGTTTATTAAAATATAAATGACATAGAGAATGATATGATTTGTAAACTTTTATATATAATAAATAATCATTAAATTTTATAATAAAAACAAATCACGGGACGGGTTAAGATATTACGGAACGGGTTATATTTCGAAATGGGTTTATATGGCGGACGAATTTGAATCAATATTTATAAATATCATTAACATGCCGCTTTAATACGGGTTAAATCTTCAGTTTATTAACAATTGTCTCGTGGACTTGTGGTATACCGTTACTTAATAACAATTGTAAACTATAATATAAATAAATATTTTATAAGGAGATACAATATACAAAATATTTTTATACTAACTTTAAAAATAAATCATCCCGCGGTGTACCGCGGGTTAAAATCTAGTCTTAGTTAAAATTCAAACATCCAAATCCCATGGTTTTAGGTGGGATTTGGGAGAATTTTAATAACAAATTTCCTAATTCACCAAAATTCACCAAAATCATCTCAAAACTCAATAAAACTCAAATCACTCTAAATTCTTCCTTCAATAGACAAATTATTCGATGATTTTTATCAAATAATATAAATCTTTCTCAATATGGTCAATTGATCAAACGTAATTAGTATCTTTTGGTTCAATTTTTAATTTTCGTACAGTTGAATTACCTAGTGGTGACTCTAAATTTTATTTTGTACAGAAAAATTAAATTTATTATTTTGAATCGATGGGGTACAATAAAGAAATTATCTGTAAATTTATAAAATGATTAATTTATTGATATATTATTTGATTTGAAAAACATGAAAATTCTCAAAACAAAACCCAAACTAATTTTTATTTGGATGTTTAATACCTAATACTTTTTAATTGGAATAAAAATAACTCATCTAATTATTTGTGGTCTTAAAATACCTTGTATATAAAATATTGGTGGAATCATATCCGCAAGTTAACAGCCGTTAACGGACGTAACGAAATTATTTAACGGGGTTCAATCTTGGGAAAATTGCCAGAAGTACCACATTTTTAAGTTTTCCCCACGAATATACCACATTTCAGAAAACTTATATCTCATGCCAGTTATTGAGATAGGAAAAGACGGAAACACCCTGGGCGAACAGTTGGGACGCTTCAGTGGTGTCTTTCAAAGTTGAGCGTGGGAAAACTGCCCGCATTAAATGCTCTCTCTGTTGCAGTGTCTTTTCAGGCGAAAAAGTTTTGGGAAATCGAAAACGAAACTCAGAAAACTCAGGCGAAAAAAGTTGTCATTACTTTCAAATTTGTTCTTCGTTGATTTGGAAGAGAAACGGAATCAAGGACGAAATTGTAAGACTCTAACCATTTCTCCTTCGGGATTTCTGGGTCAATTTGTTTTTGATAGGGCATTTCTGGGTTAATTTGTTTCCGACTGCATCATCATTTTGGTTTTTTTTTTAAATCGTTGTAGGGTTTATGGTTGTGTCCAAATCAATTGGTTTGTCCTTCAAAAAATTGCGTAAATCAGGGTTTTGGGGTCAATTTGTTCTGTTCGGTGGTTTAGGGTTTTGGGGTCTCATAAAATTTGTTTAAATTTTGCAGTCGTATGGACAAGGGTAACGACGGGGTGGAAAAGCCCCAGTCCACCAATACAAGATCTAAGAAGCCGCCGTCCACTGATACGAGATCCAATATGCCTCAGTCCACCGATTCGAAATCAAAGAACCCGCAGTCCACCGATTCAAAAACTAAGAAGCCGCCGTTCACCGATTCGAAAGCAAATAAGCCGCCGTCGACAGATGCGAAATCAAAGAAGCCGCCTCCAACAGATTCGAAGTCCAATAAGCCGCAGTCCACATATTCGAAGTCCAAGAAGCTGCAGTCAACCGTACCAACGTTGAAGAAGTCACAGGCCACCGATCTAAAAATGAAGAAGTCGCAGTCCACTATATCGGAATCGGCGCCACAGTATGAGGAGTTTAATCGAGATCTTCTTCCAAGACGAATATACGCTACAGATCGATACCCAGAGAAAGGACGCATAAACTCATACTCCAAGCCTGAGTATTTACTGGATCTGGTGGAAGCCCTAGAAGGAATAGAAGATTTGGCTTACATCAGAGGCTCTTGTTTTGGTCCTCTCTTTGATTTACCTGTCCGCAAAGCTTCATTATCAGGAAAGCTTGTCCACCAAATGTTATGTCGAGCAGTCCATACATGGAAGAGATATGAAATCTGGTTTGTCTTTGGTGGACAACCATTCCGATTTTCTTTACGAGAATTTGGTTTACTTACGGGTTTACCATGCGGAAAGTACCCAAAGGCTAAACGAATTATAAAAGCCCAAACATCTGCAGATCCAAGTAAACCTTACTGGAAGACTCTGATATCAGAAACGGAGAATGTGGTCAGCATCAAAGAGATTGTTGGATGGCTTAAGAGAGATAAAAGGTTGCCTGAGAAAGAAAGAATGCCATCATGGCGGAGGCGACGTCTAGCTCTCGTTGTCATTGTTGAAGGAATCCTTCTGTGCAACAATAACCCTGTTAGAGCATCAACCGAAGTGGTGGAAATGGTGAGGGATTTGGAGCAGTTTGAAAAGTATCCATGGGGACGAGAGTCTTTCCAGTTGACCCTAAGGATGGTAAAGGTAAGTAGCAAAGTGAAATCGTTCCAAAAGTTGAGAAGTAAGCTGGACCAGTCCCACACGGCTACACACGGATTTACTCTTGCGTTCTAGCTTATGATTTTGAAGGCAATTCCAGCCTTTGAGAGATTTCTTCCAAATCCAGATGATGAAAGAACATTCACTGACCCATCTGTCATTGAGCTTACGCCATGTAAGACCTTCCATAACTCCAATATAATGGACACCGAGAAGAATGGCAATGTAAGTTCTCTGTGGTTGAATTTGTTGCTCTTTTATCATCTAATCTATTAACACAAATAACAATCTAATCTTATGCAGATTCAAATTGACCCAATTATGGTATCCGATGATAGCTTTTACAACGCAGTCAACAACTTATGGACTGATGAGGTTGATGATCCGTCTGTTGTCTATCTTCAGAGGCTAATCTCGAGTGGGTTCAGGTTTACAGCAAACATGTGGACAGGAGGGTCCAGAGTACACAGTGAGATAATTGTTCAAAAAAACGAGCCTACTAAACTTCAACAAGTGGAAAGGAAAACCAAAGTTAGAGTTGTTTCAGAAACATCCCGTCTAAACAGAATGGACAAGGGGAAGGGAAAAATTGATGACGATGAA